TAATCTCATATCTCATATCTCATTTCTCATCTTATTTCTCATATCATCTCTCATATCTCATCTCTCATATCATCTCATATCTCATATCTCATTTCTCATCTCTCATATCTCATATCTCATTTCTCATCTCTCATATCATTTCTCATATCTCATCTCTTTCATCTCTCTTATATCTCATCTCTTTCATCTCTTTCATCTCATATCTCTCTCATCTTTCATCGCATGTCTCTCATATCTCATCTCATTTCTCATCTCTCATATCATTTCTCATATCTCATCTCTCATCTCACATCTCATATCTCATCTCATCTCTCATCTCTCATATCTCATCTCTTTCATCTCATATCTCTTTCATATCATATCTCATATCTCTGTCATCTCATATCTTTTCATCTCTCTCATATCTCATATCTTTTCATCTCTTTCATCTCTCTTATATCTCATCTCTTTCATCTTATATCTCTCTCATCTCTCTTATCTCTTATTTCATCTCTCATCTCTTTCATCTCTTTCATCTCATATCTCTCTCATCTTTCATCTCATGTCTCTCATATCTCATCTATTTCATCTCATATCTTCTCTCATCTCTCATATCATATCTCTTTCATCTCACGTCTTCTTTCATCTCTTTCATACCTGATATCTCTCATCTCTCAACTCTCATATCTCTCATCTTTCATCTCATATCTCTCACCTCTCTTAATTCTCAATTTCTTATCTCTCATATCTCTCTCGTATCTCTCATATTTCACATTTCTCTCTTCTCTTCTCTTCTATCTTTCCCATCTCATCTCTCTCATCTCATATCTCTGATTTCTCAACTCTCATCTCTCATCTCTCTCATCTCATATCTTATCTCTGTCATATCTCATCTTCATCTCTCAACTCTCATATCTCCCATCTCTCTCATCTCTCAACTCTCATATCACTTATCTTTCATCTCATATCTCTTTGAATCTCTCTTATCTCTGGCATCTCGCATCTCGCATCTCTCTCTCTCATATCTTATCTCTCTCGTATCTCTCAGCTCTCATTTGTCACGTCTCTTACATCTATCTCGTATCTCTCATCTATCATCTCTCACATCTCTTATCTCATCTCTCTCATATCTCTCATTTCTCAACTCACATATCTCCTGATCTCTCAACTCTCTTAACTCTCTCAAGTCTCATCTCTCTCAACTCTTTCAATTATCATCTCTCATATCTTATATCTCATCATCTCTCATCTCTCTCAATTGTCCTCTATCATCTTTCTCATATCATATCTCATCTCTTTCATCTCTCATCTCTCTCAATTGTCATCTATCATCTTTCTCATACCATATCTCATCTTTTTCATCTCTCACCTCTCACTTCCTCTCACCGGGCCTTTCATCATACCTCTGATCTATCTTATCTCTCATATCATATATCATATCTCTCTACTATAAAGAGCATTACACCCTTGATCGTGAAAAATTGATTGCTTATTGAACCATGTGAATTGCGTGAAAATAGGATACACCAAATTCAGGGGTCAAAGAGTTTTAGAAAACATTATTGGTGGAAAAAATGTAAACGATTCCACTGAATTGAACAGGGTCCATGAATCTAAGAAATGGCGAGAATTCTTGATCTCTCTCAATATCTCCCTCGATATGTGATATGAGATTTATCGATGTGAGATGAGAGATAAAAGGGGTGATGTGAGGTAGGGGGAGGGTGGAAGGGGTGGAAAGGTGAGGAAGGTAGAACTAACATACTGTTACTGATATCCCTCGAGTAGGGATCTATCGATATGAATATTTAACTCTATTACGAGGAGTTTCACTGTTATTGGTTACTTCTTAAAGAAGATGGCCACACTGATTATATGATTCCTCCTTGGAAGCCCCTCTAAATATAAGCTTTGCTATGAAAGTGTTTTTCTAAAAGTTCACATTGATTTTGCTTACATGAGACAAATAAGAATGAATATTGTTACTGTTTCATAAAGGGCATTGATTTCATCATTTTGATTATCATACTATCATGTTTCCTGGTGGCTTGTCCTTCATTAAAATAGTTGTGGTTAAGTGTTATTACTCACTGAGCTAGCGTCTCACTCTTTGCTAAATATTTTTACAAAGAACTCATGTGGTATTGACGAGGATTTCATCAACTAGAAAGTGTGATTTGGTAGCATTTGGTGAGCTCCACATTATTTCGTGTGGCAAGAGATCTATCAAATTTCTATGTGTTCTTTTTTTTAAAAAAACTCTTAGGCTCCATTTGCCAGTCCTTTATTGGAGTCATGATTATTCCTTCGTATTGTAGTGACTAGTTTTAAACTTCTTTTCGTAATTGAAGAAGAATTGGTATAATTGTGTGGCGATTGAATTGTTGATGGATATTGGGTCATGAGTTAGAGATGTTATTAGTTATATTGTTGATTTCTAAGATAGGGAAAATTCAGGATATGCCTAAAAATAAAGGAAACTTTGCTCATTTTTTTGTAGAATTCTGATAAGGCTTCTCCCCATTAGCGTCGGTCACGTTCCTTAATTGGGTCGTGACAATGTTGGTATCAGAGCCTAGGTTATTCTTGTGACTTATGGAGCATACGTTAGTAGTAGAATCTCAATTATGGTTATGTTGCCGGCCATTTATAAAATCGTGATTCTGTAAAGATGTGATAGGTTGTGTCTTTTCTTTCTTTCTTTCTTATTCCTTCTTATATGTGTGATTGATTAATAGGTAAACCAAATTAATCTAACATTGTTATCTATCTATCTATCACATGTCTTGAACATAGTCATTTAATAACAAGAATAGTCCAAAGGTTCAGAGGCATCAAGGGTCACCTTTGTAAACACATGTCTCTCCCAAATAAGGGGAACAAACAAAAGTAGTTGGAAAAGCCAAGAAAGAGATCATTATGTGATTGTGATGAAATTTTGTGCACCTATGTGGTACCAATTTTTTTTTTGGAAAGAGTACTTCTCTACATTTTAGCAACATGAGAGTGTTACTGTTGGACACTTATCTTCCGGTACCGAGCAAGAGATATTTATGGACATAATGAATAGATTCGGGCAACAAATTATGGCCCAAGACCAGCTCCAGGCAGCTAAAGATTCATATTTGTCAAAAAAAAAAGTTGAGAGTTTCTAAGAATAAAACCTCTGAGGTTCTAACAACTCAAAGATCCTTAGAGGTTTTAACAAGTTTTTAGGAAAGATTCTTGAGTGAAATACTTGAAGCTTTACAAACTCTAGCATGTTCAAATGAGAGTACTATAGATCTAGTGTTCAGACAGTGAACATGAACAACAAATACATGGTATGATATTGTACTAGTTGGAATACCAATAGGAGAACACCAACGATATGAGGCAATTCACTAAGTTATTTATGATTTTCTTCTCTCTTGACAGTTGAAAATGTGTAACTTGATTAGGAATTTAAGAAATTTGTTCAAAATGATAGATTGAACTAATATGTGACCCTAATTTTCAGTAGGTTAGATATGCTCCCTACTTATTATCTACCGAAGTATTTTTGGATTTAGAAATTTGTTGGAGGGTTGGTTAGCCCTTAAACAACCCTATGGATGAAGACCTTAACC